AATTAATTGATTAATTCAGATAGATACACAATTCACATAAATAATATAAAATTATATTATTTATTTTTTTATTACATTACTTACGGAAAACCATGCGTAGGTATTAAAAACAAGAAAATAGAAATAAAGACGATCACCGTATACGTTCCAAAAATGTAATCGACACCAACAGTGGCGTATCCAGATTTTTTTTTGGGGGGGTTATAAAAAATGGAACATTAAATTTTTTTTGAATTTTGTGTGTTTTTATTATAATCAATAAACAATATACATACACTAAATATTTTCGGGGGGGGGGGGGGGGTACCCCCCCCCCCCCCCCCCCCTGGATACGCCACTGGACACTAATGCTGTGGCGGTTTGCAGCTTGCGTATTAATAACTTTACAGTGTTATGGGCTTCCATATATCATATAGTATATTGTGCTTATATTCATGTATAGTTGATTACCCGTAAATTTAAAATACGGGAATGATAAAGTAACATTATATTCTTTTGTATCGCAAACAAGTTCTAGAATATTCGCGATTATCAATATATACCTGACGCGGACCCGTGCGGCAGCCGTTATTGAAACGTCTGTCGCCGACCGTGCCTTTATCTCTCTCATCAACCACCAGACTGCGGCACGCAGCGCCACCGCGACACCCTATCCCTCCCATCATCAATTGTCAGGGGACGCAAACGGTCGCGACGACGTCCGCACGGCAACACTATCGAACCGGTTCGTTCCGGCCTGTTCTTTCCAAATCGTAGATGGGATCACAACCCTCTCCGACATCATCTTTTTTTTTTTTCAGTGTACTAAATCAAATATTGTCACTTGTACGCAACGTGTTAAACAGTTTACATGGACTTACTCATTACTAACATTATTGTCGTATTAATAATAAACCATCTTTAATATATTACGTCGTATTCAGCACAGCTGATCCTTTTTTTTTTTTATTATTATTATAATTATATTTATTGTGCGTCGTGCCGTGACACTCCGATCCAAGACATACCTACAAAATATGATTTTTCCAACAACGATAAGCCGTGAATAGTCCCGACTATTCTCGTATCTTAACAAAATTATAAATATCAAATATTGAAACACATAATTTTTTATTTTGATGTTTACATTCTGGGGTTGCTTAAGCCCCCCCCAAGTCCTCCCCCCCAATATCCGCCTATGATAATATTTGAACAGTACACTAAATATAATTTAATTTCTTTGACTTTATTTAAATTCAATTAAAAATGTATTAAAGTAAATACTAGTACATCAAAATGTTTGTTATTTATTTCTTACTTTGACGTAAACTTGTAACACTACTATCAGAGCATCAAAGACTTCCAGTACAATGTAAGATATTGCTTGCTTTGATATCTTCAAAAGGTAGCCCAATGAAGTGTAAAAATCTCCAGTTAGCAAAAAACGCAATGTTACGGCTAGGCGCTGGCTCAGTGGAATAGCTTGTCTGAATGACGTATCTTTTTTAATAATTTTGGGTACAATCAAACTTAATATTTTTTCAAAATCGGAATTATTCATTCTAAAAAAGTTTCGGAATCCCAAGTCACCAGTGGCGGTTTTGGGGGTGAGGCAAGTGAGGCACCGCCTCACTTGTAATTTTTACGAAAATAAAAAATATTTGGTTATTTATATTGGTATTTTGTACTATTTTTAAATTTAAAATTTTAATCGTATAATTTAATTTTTAATTATAATTAATTAATTTATATTTATTTATTTTAGATATATATATATATATATATATAACAACAATATTGAATATTATTTTTTTGTACAGAAATTGTGCGAACGCGAGAATGGCTGCGCGTCGCTGCAACGTAACTTACGAGCTATTATAATATTAATAGTTTCCATTTAATATTGCGTCCGGCCCGGCACGGCGCCACCGCCACCGCCACCGCCACCGCTAAAGCGCTAAGATCGTCAGCGGCGAGAGGCGGTAGCTGCCGTCGCCTAAGTTAGTGCATGCGAGGTGCGTCTACGCACACACATATAAGTTCGTAAAATAGTGTAAATTGCGCATGCGCAGACCGCAGCCAGAGGCGACTAAAATCAAACGCACAACGATATTATAAACATTGGCCGCCGGTACATTAATTGTATGCAGCCGCGCTACTTGCTAGGTGGGGAGTTGTGCTTGCCAGACGGCCGTCGTGGTGTCGCACGTCTGTTATCTTTTAGTAATGAAATATTTGTATTACGTCTGTTCATGACGTAGTCGTAGGACGTATATTATATTAGTCTAATATTGTACGCTGTCCAGTGTAGTAATTGTTCTTCATTTTAAACATTACAGTATTACTCGTTTAGTTTAGTCTAGTTTAAAGTGTCGTATTTCACATTTTCACTTTGTGGCGTGTTAGTGTGTAGACGTGTAGTAGAATAGTAGATACTGTAAACTGTTCATTGTTCATTAGATAGTTAGTTAGGACGTATTATCAATACTAAAAATGAATCCTGTATATGACCCTGTTGTTCAACTATTAGAAACGCCATTTCGACGTTGGACAACTAATGACAAAAATGAATTGCTAGAACTTGGTAAGCCAATTCCCCAGTTGTGTTGTCAGTCAAAGGATAAGAAAGGTGGTAAAATGTTTAGTAGAGCGTTTAATCATAAATGGTACGATATGCATACTTGGCTTTGTGGAAGCCACCATAAACAGGCGTTGTATTGTTGGCCGTGTTTGCTTTTCAGTATGACAAAATCTGTTTGGACTACAACGGGTTATGACGATTTAAAAAATTTATCACGTAGTGTTAAACTTCATGAATCTGCCAGAGAACATATTCATTGTATGTTAGAATTAAAACATTTAGAAAATAATAGAGTAACTATAGTAGACGCTTTGACCGAACATGGTTATTTGTTTAAAAAAAAAATATAATGAAAATGTTCGGCTTAACCGACTTTTTATGGAACGTCTAATTGATATTGTGTTATTTTTGGGTAGACAGGAAATGGCCTTTCGAGGGCATAACGAAAGTTCGAGTTCTTTAAATAAAGGAAATTTTAAAGAACTCTTTGATATGCATATTACTAGGTTTTCATTAGAGATTCAAAACCATTACAATGCTATAAAAAATATATTTTCAGGATTATCAAATACAATACAAAATGATTTGATAACATGTGTTTCTGATCACATACGTAATATGGTAAAAACTGAAATCAAAGAGTGTATGTTTTATTCTGTCCAAGTTGATGATACGACAGATATTTCGCAAAGAACACAATGTTCAATTATACTAAGATATATAACAAATAAATCTGAATTGGTAGAAAGGTTTCTTGGTTTCTATAATGTTAGTGAGGATCGCACTGCTGAGGGTCTCTTCAACACGTTAAATTCTGTATTATTAGAATTTGATATGGAAAAAAAGTTAATTGGTCAGTGTTATGATGGCGCGAGTGTCATGGCCGGTCATGTAAATGGTTTACAAGCTAAAGTTACAAAGGTTGCTCCTAATGCGTTATTTACACACTGCTTAGCGCATCGTTTAAACTTGGTGTTACAGCATGGCTGCAGTGCTAACACACAGTGTCGTATTTTTTTTGCAAACATGACTGGAATTTCCGCTTTTTTTCATAATTCTACCTCGCGTACGAATGTTGTAGATGCTATTGTTTGTAAACGCATACCGCAATTTGTTCAGACGAGATGGGCTTCTCGCTCAAAAATTTTGAACTTAGTTGTAGACAAGTGGAACGAATTTAAAACGGTTTTTGAACATATATAAATGATTCAAATTCGTCATTTGTGGTTCAACTGGGCATTTAAACAATTTGAAAAAATTTTCGCTTTTTTAGCTCAAATATTTAACAGTATATTTTTACTCACTGACAAATTGTTTAATACACTTCAAAATAAATCATTTGATATGGAATATTGTATACGACAAATAAATATAGTATATGATCTCGTTAGTAAAAAAAGAAATGAATCTGAGTTTTTAAAACTATTTAACAATGCGTTAGAGTTAACAAAACACCCTAAGGAAACAAGAAATATGTCTAATCCTCAATTAAATTATAAAATATTATATTATGAAATACTTGACAATATTTTACTCCAGATAACGACGAGATTTCAAAATACTGATAAATTGATATTTTTACAACTGGCTGATGTTTCAAAATTTAAATACTATTCTACAAATTTCCCTGTAAATGCATTTCAAAATCTGGGAGAATCTTATTCCGACATATTTATTGATAATAACAAATTAAAAGTAGAGTTAGAAGTATTATACCACGATGAAAAATATCAAGATTTACATCATGTTTATGATTTAGTAAAAATATTTGAGAGTAGTGGATTAAAAGTAATTTTACCTGAAGTTTATAAACTATTTTCTTTAATATTAACTATACCATCAACCAGCGTATCAGTGGAAAGAAGTTTCTCCTGTCTAAAACGTATAAAAACATATTTGCGCAACAGTATTTCCCAAAATCGTTTAAGCTCTCTTGCTATAATTTCAATAGAAAAAGAGTTAATTGACCAACTAAAACATACTGGAGCGTTTTATGATGAAGTCATAAATATTTATACCAGTAAAAAAAATAGAAGTATTGATTTACAATATAAATCATAAAATCATATTAGGACTTTGTAGGTATATAATATGTCAAATTGTCAATTCACATATTTTGTAAATAATGTATTATTTATTAAAATGTATATTGTATATGATTTATTTTAAAAGGTTTATGTCAGATGACAGGTTATTATTATTTTTTGTTTTGCGTGTCATATTAGGAACACCTATATTTTGTTTATTAATTATTATGTATTTATGTTTTAAGTTTAAATGAAATTACTGCTAAAAGGCTAGTCATGTAATATATTATATTGTTTTTTGTTATTTATATTTTATGTGTGTAAAATACTGTAAATTATATGTATATAGGTAGTTAGGGAGGGGTGTATGGAAAAAACCTCTACGTGGTACACCCTAGGCAACAGAAATGATCTAATCATAACTGGCAAATTTTTCCACTCCATTTTGATAAGCCATACCTACCATTTAAACTTTAAAAAATACATTAACATATTTTGTCTCTGTGTTAGGGTAATATTGTTTTTACTATTTAATATTTTTCCGCCTCATGTAAAATTACATGCCAAAACCGCCACTGCAAGTCACATCTGTAATACAGGTTCAATTGATCAACCTCATCAAGTAATAAAGCTTTCATTAATACTATATTATACTATACTTCTTTCTGCTTTGGACAAGACTGGACCTCACCCAAAAACCTCCTTAGGCGGTGGCGACGAACTTGTTGGCTTTTAAAAACTCCTATGATAATTGCAGCAGCAGCTACTGCAATTTCTTCTGAATCATTCATTTTAAATAGGTTAATTTTTTAATTAATTAATTAATTATAATATTAAAGTAATCAAGTAAATATTAGGAAAAAAATCGTTCGATAAAAGCACTCGATATCGTGTCGGTACCCTTGTGTCGGTCGACTAGTGAACATAGTAAGGACAAGTTAAAAATTGAACGTATCGATGAACACTGTCGATTGGTCTTGTCGATCGGCACTATTCGACACAGTGTGGACACGGTTTAAGAATCAAAAGGTAGACAACTTTTTAATGACTAATAGTAAGCCAATTTAAATTCTGTAAAAATAGAACTTGTTGGGTTAGATTATGTTGGAAACCAATTTATATTTAAAAAAATCGGATACTCGTAATTCAAATTGTTATAATTGAAAAATGTTTAACACTAAAACGTCATTTACTTATACAAAATATAAAAAACAAAAATGTTATTTCTAACATAACCTAATAAATTAGTAAAAGAGATTTTAATTTTGTTACAGAATTGAATCGTAAGCGATTGAAAAGTTATCTATCTTTTGGATCTTAAACGTCGAAAAACAAACCCATTTTTAAAAAAATCGTTACGTAATATTACTATTATTATTATATTAGAATACTGTAGTAGTAACAATGTGTGTAAATACCGATAACGCGCATATAATAATTATTAAATTATCTAGAAGAAAAAAATCCTACTTTTGATTGCGTTAATGTTGAAAAAAACGTGAATCACCAAACACTGAATTAATAACAATTTTTTTTTTTATGTCCCGCTGTTCTAACCGATAGAGTTGCTGCTGCCATGGTTGACGTAGTTTACCGTGGTAATATTGAGCTGATTTTATCAATAATTAACCACCTGAAGAAATACATTATTTCATTTATAATTGTCCTGTTGATCCTGTTGTCGATATTTCATTTTTCCAAATATTCAGTTCACTTTGTGCCGCTGTTCACCATCACTTTTGTTCTGCTGCCAGTCGTCTACTACACCACAGTTTTGGTTCTCAAGTTTGTTACCACTATCATTTCTTCAAATCAAACCGTAAGTATATCGCATCCGCACACGACTTATACCCATTAAAGGTTGCCCCACACTGAATCGGAACGGAACAGAATTCCGGGGCATATAAACTTGGCCATTTTGATCTCATCGCTCAAATTCGTCGGTCGAACTAAAGCTTATTGTTATATTATTTATTTTTAATATTTTTGAGTGTTTGTAAAATATAATAAATAATATAATAAAATGAATGATATAAGTAGTGAAGAGGAAGAGATGATATTCACATTAGCACTTTTGTTAGAAGCTGAAGAAAAAGAAAATATATACGATAAAAAGACAGTGGGTTAGAGTTCCATACACTATTCCCGCATTTAAAATAGGACAATACTTTTTTTTTCAATATTTCCGAATGAGTTACGAAAAAATTTGCCGATTGTTAGAACATATAAATTCTAAGTACAAAACGATGATGACCAAAAGTTAGCACGTATATTTCGCGCTGACGCAGTGTCGGTGCGCATGCGTTAGTGATCGGAATGCTTCGGAATCTGTCAAAATATTGTATATAAACAATTCGGTCACATTCAGATACGATCAGACACGATATTTCCGATCCGATTCGATCCAGTGTACGGAACCTCATTTAAAATTATTTTAATTAATTTTTTCCGTTCTGATCCGATCGGATGGTTCTATTTCGTTCCGATTCAGTATGCGGCAACCTTTAGTGTTGTAATACATGTATGCACACGCAGTATATAATAAAATGAAATTATCAAACAGGTCGGACGACCTGCAAACCAAGCTTAAAAAAGGAAATAATGCACGGCGCCGGCAATGAAACAACGGTCGACCGTACAATGCTTATTATACTCTGCACAACTAAATGGGATTAATCGACATTGTTCGTGTTAATATTGTTATTTGTGGTTTGTTCGTGTTATCATTTTCGTGCGATGCGTAGCGGTGCGTTGCGTATCCGTAGCCATCGTCGGCGGCGGTGATAAGCCTCCGTGTGCGACCGGCCGGGTACGTAATCGCGTTGTTATCATCGCACGAAGATGATTGTTATTGCACGTTTTCAAATAAAATTGTCGGTTATGTTTTTTGTAAAAGTTAAAGTCATGCTCTCAGTGCCACAAAGTTCATTAATTTCGAGTGTTTTTCAGTTTTGTGTAGTGGAACTGAGGCCTTTTATCTTCATTGTGGTGTCCGGCGGCCAAAGTCTTCGTGGTAAATGTCGTCGGCACCGACTCGCTCTCGTTTCCGTGTCTTCGTGGTGTGCACACTGAAATTCATTTTTTGTTCGTTTACGTTAAATTCACGTTTTGTTACATTTTTACGTTTGTTGCTGTCTTCGTTGGTGATTGTGATTCGGTGATCGCACGTACCAGACTGTGACATTTTTATTTTGTATAATTTTAAACACTGTGGTGTGCCGTCTAAAGCAATTGTCATAGTTCTGGTGCGGTCGCGTCGGGATAAAATCCACCACCAATTACAGTCATCTCATACGAGTATTGGTCGACCATATTTATTTCATTAGTGTTAAAGGCCGACGGGCCTAGCCGTCGTAGGCAGGTTATTATTATTTATATCGAGCGTTTCTATTGCCTCCACAGGCACATATTATATTTATTGTATTTATTTATATATTTCTATTTATTAATTTATTGTTGTGCCGCTGTAGGGCCAGCACTTGATTATATTTATTATTTTCCGTGCGCCATGTGGGCCACGTACATTATTTGAATTGTTTGTATTGCGTGCCGTGTGTGCCGTAGATAATTTATTTTTATTGATACTTTATTATTTATTATATTTATTTGATTATATGTATTTAGTGTATTGTGCCAACCAGTCAACATAGTACAATTTATTATTACAGTAATTATTAATAAATTAGAAACATTCAATTTATAATATTTAACCATTCTTTCTTTTTCATTGAATTTATATAATATTGTGTTCACATAGCAATTATTCCAATAGTACATTTTCTTTTTATACAGCTGTTAAGGCACCCTTATTCTTTATAGTATAAGAGCTGAAAGCAGCGACAGACATTCTTGGAGCTCGGAGGGGTAATATAAATGCAAATATTTTTATGACTTTTACACCTTTGCTCTCAGGTATTAAATAAGATGTTAACGAACATTTTGCATTCACCCTAATCCTCAGTTCTAAGAGTGCAAAATTAGTTGATTTTTGGATACAGCTTTTTATTGACGGTGAGTAGGGAACAAAAAAAAAAAATTTAAAAAATTTAAATTGCCCTAAAATGCACCATCACAAAATCCTTTGGAAATCCGATGACTTTAAAATCGGGTATAGAGTTTTTTGGGACTCTATATATATATTTATTTTATTTTTTATAAAATTTAATATTTTTTGAATTGTAAATAAGACAATAAATAATCATTATTCGGTGACAATATTATTTTGAAATTATTTATAGATAAAATTATATTTGTGTATTGCGTACCGTCAGTTCAACAGTTTTGAGGTTAGAAAGTGTGATAGGCTTTATAAATCAGTGGTTCTTAACCTGGGGGTACGTCCCCTTAGGGAGGCGTGAAAATGTTAAGAAAAAAGACGAAAAATGAAAACGTTGCCGTTTTCTACGTCGTGCCTTGCCGCTGTGTTGGTCGCCGCTTCGGTCGATTTTTTTTTGCAAATAAATAAATTTAATATTAAAAAAACTTCATTGTAGGTGTATTCTTATTAATCCAATAACCAACGTTAATGCAGGAAGTTGTACCTTTAAGTTTTTACGGTTCCGGTTCTCAATTATTTTATTAAAAGGGTCGGGTTCAGGTTCCGGTTAGTGTTTCTGAGCTTTATCCATGCGTAATCGTCTTCTGACCCATAGTCGTCAACAGATAAAGAAAATACCGTGATGACGGTAGATCTTTTGGTTGTGTCGCAGTACCAATTGTCTGGTATTTTACTGTATTTGTAGAACTTGCTTGCTATTATGATGTTTGCACTGTGTTCAGCAGTGGTATGCCTGGCCAGGTTCTGCGCACTGCTGCCTCTTCCTAGATTGATCTGCAGTATGCGTGTTATTGTGGAAGTGTCAGTATTGTGCTACTCGCAGTCGCGCGACGTTGATCTGCCTTCAAAGTTGGATTCCGGAGCACTTTGTCTCGCTGGTCTTGTGCCTCATTGGGTGGGCGATCCGTGAGGAGCTCACGCTACGGGCCCTATTATGGGAACTTAACATAACCTAACACGTATTGAACGATTGAAGCGAATTGAAAACTGGTATGTATGGTGGGTTGATAATTTGACTATTATCGGTCGATAATAATGCTTATAAAACAGTTAATATCTAAATACAATATTGTGACTGTCGTTCCATCGATGATGGATTAGGTATCCATTTCATGAAATATTATCCATATTGTGTAATTACGTGAAGTGGAGAAAACGCGGCTCCATTTCGCGAAACATACAATAACGTGATATGGATGCTAAATATATATATATATATTAAAAGTTCTGAACCAAAAATTTGTAAGACTTTTGAAAATACCTTTTGTCAGTACAATAACAAAAATTGTCTTATATGCTTAGAAATGTGAGCGTAATGAATGGGCTTATTAATTGTGATATTGTCTTTAAAAAATTGAGTATTTTTGGGGGTCGTATAACGGTTATTTTAGGTAAAAAAAAATTATAATACGTATCTATGTTTTAGTTTTTCTGTCGCGTACATGAATATTCGAAAGTATTAGAGTTTAATAATATTACGTTAGTTAAAACCGTGTTTTTCTTTAAATTATATTATTTTTATTTTTTGCTCTCGTAGAGAGAAATCGCGGTGATGAACGCTAACAGTGATCAGGGACACGGGCTGAAGACCCCGGACCGTCCGTACCCGAATAGCCCAACTCCGCCACCAACATACGAGGAAGCTACGCGGAACGACCATTATTACCAGCCTCAACCATGGTTACCGTCGACCAGCAGCGGATATACCAGCAGTACCAGTGCGGTGTTCAATTTACAGTACCAGTACACCAACAGGGATGTGATGAAGAATTACGCAAGAATATCGGACATGGCTGCAGCTACGATGACTACTAACCAAAATAATCTATCCAGTGTTGCGGACGGTGGCGTCTGCGACTTACGTCCGTCCGTGCTGAAACCGATTCAAAACATCCCCAGTGTTACTATCACGTCAGACGACGATCAACGTCCGATGGAGATATGATTGACGATTGACCGTGATTTTATTAGTGTGTGGCAGTAATTCATACGGCGAATCACCAATAAGGGAATTTCTGTATTGCAAACACGCCATTATAACTGATATCATTACATAAAAATAAAAAGTTATCAATAATATTGTTAATAATGTTTACACCAGGGACCAGAACCGTAATCGAAAAAAACCTGTACTTGAGCCGGTTATCTTTTAAAATTTAGGAACCGTAACTGAAACCGAAACCTTTATTTCCAAAAATGAAAAACCGTAACCATAACCTTAATTATAAATTAGTAAAAGATAAGATTAGAAAACTATGGTAATGACTTTTTGGTCCATTTGTCGGTTTAGAAAAATAAAAGTCAAATCTTTTTATGTTTTTATAATTTTGTGTTGTAAACTGTAATAGTGTAATGCATATAATAAGTAAATTTGTAATATTATTATTATTATTATTTTTGTATGTTTATTAATATATTACAATTTACAATCAGTATATCATACATCTTGTCTATTGAGTGTTAAATATAATTAATGTTTATATAAATTTGTAGCTACAAAAGTAGCCAATACTAACTTTGATTTCTAATTAAAATTAAATTTTAAATTAAAGATTATTATTTCATCAAATCATAATATTTCACAATATTACAAAATATTTTATAAATTCTTACTATTTTTTTTTTTATACAGCGTGACATGGGGTGGTTCAAACCTTTCAGTAATTTCACCCCGATGCCCCATCATTTATTGTTAAAATGCAATATTTCATTTTTCGAAATATGGAATTATCTAAGTAAAAAAAAAAAAAAAACATTAAAATAAAGTATAGTCGATTCAAAGCAAAAAGACATAACGCATAAATTATTCTTTCAATTAATCAATATATATACTATGTGTGCAGACTCATAAAATAGTATAAAAATAGGGATAGATCTTGATGTTATTTGAAAAAAAAAATTTGTGCGATAAGTGAATACTTCATAATAGGTGTGTATATATAAAGTTTGGTGATAGTTACGTTTTATATTCTAAACATTCTTAGTGAAAAACACATCCAAGAAAGACCATGTGGAGATCACTAACGCATTTTTCACATTCAGAGTACATAAAATATACTCATCGTCAATAATTAAAAGTTATACAAAGAGAATATATAAAAATATAAAATATAAATAATTTATGAAAGACAGAGTATGGAAGTATCTTGTAATCAGAGCATATATGTGCTTTTAAGCCTAAAGAATACACGAAGATAATGTATAAAAATAAGAAATGTAAACAATTTATGAAACATAGAACGTGGAAGTTTCTCGTAAGAGCGTTAAAAATTGTAATCCGTACTATTTTTATTTTTATTTTTCTTTATTTTATAGTTGTTTTTGTTTTGAATAGTATCATTAGCATCAATGAAATTTAATTCAATTCTATTCCAATGAAAGAAGTATAATGAAAACATACAACAGCTATCTCCCTATATTATTTTGAAAATAAATGAAATTGAATGTATTTAACATATATATACACATTTATACACTTATATACATTTAGCTTAATCTAATTACACATATTGTTTACACGCTAATTTGAACATAGTTTAAAAAATGTTGTTTTACATTTATCTTTTTATACACTAAAATGTTATGATAACCTATTTTCTATTGCGACATGACTATACGTTTATTTTAGTTTGTTTAATATTTCATTTGACATGAATCTAAATAGTCTAATACTAATATGTGTGAGCAATAGAATTATAAAAAGTATTGTATATAATTTTTATATCTGATTGTGTTTATAAAACCTTCTTAAAGAAAACATACAATAGCTCCGTCCTAATATTTTTTGGTAAAACAAATAATAATTAATGTAAAATGTAATATAGTATGAAGAAGATAATTTACAAAAAATGTAATAAACATATAATTTTTTTTTTTTTGAAGGCTTTTACGAGCCATTTAAATTCTTGGCCGCCAAAACTATTTCCTTCCATCTCTCTCTATCATATGCTTGTTCCCAGTCCACTCCAATGTCTTCTAATAATTCTTTGACGCTGTTCTTCCATCTTTTTCGAGGTTTTCCCCTTGCTATAAATGTCAATGCTTCTTTCAATATACTTCTATCGGCCCGCCATACATGGCCTACCGAATTTAGTATTAGAAATGATAATGGTACATTCTGAAACTGTTGAATTACACTTATTAAAGACATACATTCTAAATCTGAGTCATAACCATAATTTTGTATAAATTGATGTGTAAAAACATTTGATTGACAGCTAGCTGGAAGATTTGATATGAATTCTTTTATTGTTGAATAGAATTAATTGAGTAGAATAGTAATTAATTTTTTTCTGTTTTTCTATAATATTTGATTCTATACAAATTTGAATTTGTTTTAAACGACAAAGATCAATAATACTTAATGCTAAAGTATTATTATTCAGTCTTAATGTGATTGAAGAGTTTTTACATTTATTGAATAACATAAATCGTCATTTAATTGAACTGAAGATTTGTGCCGTGCTTGTACATTTTTTAAAATCAAATTAAAATTAGACTCACGCATTAAATCATTCCAATTTGTTAAATCCAGAGTTGAAAAATTTCTGTTTGATTCTAATAATACAACAACTGAAACATACTTTTTATTATAAATTTCAAATTTTGATTTAGCAACTATTGGAACTGGAACTAGTGAAGACATGTTTGATTAAACGCACTAAAAAAAAAAAAAAATAAAAAATTCCAAATATTGCAAAAACGTAACAGAAATCTTCTGATTCTGGTAGATGTACGTCGTTTTATTGTATAACTTTTTTCTAAAATACGTTTAATTAATTTTAAAATTTTAATACAGTTAACACAGTCTAACTCCTTTGATATTGAACACATAACTAATGCGAATGAAACAATTTTTTTTATTTATATACCGACAAAAATAAAAGTGAACATTGTGTTCTAATGGTTTAAGACGTTTTTTTAAACACTTACCTAAATTAAGAATTCCATCCCTACCTATTAAATTATTTTGTAAACCTAACATATTTATCTTTGAAAGTGACGTCTTATACCTTTAGAACACAGTGTTCACAAATAAATTGAAATGAATTAAAGCATTTAAGTAGTAATAATTATTATTTTATTATTATTTTACATATAATTTCAAAACATACAATTTTTTTTTATTTATCAACTTCATCATAACAATTATGCATGTTACAAAAGTTAGAATTTAAACCCTTATACTTAAATGAACTAGTAAAATCGTTTAAAAAATTTATACCTTTACTTAATAATAAGAATATTTTTAAATACATTTGTTTGAAAATTTTGCATGCTCGCGATACGGTCATTCTCCATTTTTATTTAATATTAAGCTGCAATAGAAACATTGAACTGAATCTCTGGTTTTACTGAAAAATCCTGCCTCAGATAATTTTAATTTATCAAGTAAGGCCGATGGAAAGTTCTTGAGTGATTGAAACCGTTTTGTAAATGTTGCATACTCTGGATGTTGAGAACTTGGACAGTTTTTAACTGCATATAATAAATTATTAAAATAACTTGTGTAGTTAACTTGATACATTACAATAAAACGATCGATTTACTCTGAGAAACTATAAACATATGAGAATATAGACAAGTCATCGAAACAGTAGTATATAGCGAACTGACTCTAGTATAAAAAAATATTTGTTATAAATGAATAATATATGAAAAAAAAATGAAAATAAAACAGTGCTACACTATGACATATAAAAAATTTCCTACAATAGACTTGTAGTATAATCATAAAATATCATTTGTGATCATGTTCCACAAAAACGATCGGTTATGGGTACGATGAGTCTAGTGTGCAGATGGCTAAGTTCCAGTGACTCTTTAGAGTTCGACGACGCGAGTATATCAGCCTACTATTAGCTGTCCGACGTGTGCCGTTATAACGACCCTTATATGCCTCTATAGTCGAATCTGAATCCGATTATTCGGTGGTTGTGACGTTCGGGGATTATTTTACAGTCTATTCAAATGTTAAATCGAAATGTGTAATAATAAATGTGAAAATTATTTTAGTCAAATAAAAAAATTTGTAAAAAATATTTAGTGTACATTTTTACACGGTAACTAAAAATATTTACCGTGGGACTGTCGGTCAAATATTTTGAATCTCCCTGTAAAAAAAGGAGACAGAATATACAAATACATAATACTAGCGAGACTCAATCACGCTCAAACATTATTATTCGACATCAATTGATATCCTGTGCCAAATTGTTAGTATAGTTTATACTGATTAACATTTTTACATTCCGCTAACAAAAATAAAATAGGGAGAAAGGTTAGGGTATTTCGCAAGGGTGAGATTAATCGAAAACTCACAGCCGAAAATCTGTAGATTTCGTTGAAAAATTAGCATACACATAAACGAGCATTGTGCCGCGATCGCCCATGGACAAAAGCTAACGAATAACTGAATAAACATTTCCAAAGAAGGAGCGCGTTCGGTACGAACAGAATTTACCTTCTCGGGACGACACGGCTCAAGCGCGGTCCGTGCGAATCGAATTTGCCTTCTCGTGGCGACCCGACCAGTTCTTTGTCGGTACACGTGAGTTTTAGCTTCTCGCGGCGACCCGACACAACCACGGTCGGTACGAGCCAAATTTTGTTTCTCGCGAAGACACGGCACAAGCGCTGTCGGTACGCATGAGTAATGCTTCTCGGGGTGACACGACCAAACGCATTCGGTACGAGCCGAAATTCCCTCCTTGCGGCGATCCGGCACAATCGCGGTCGGTACGTGTGAATTTCCCTTCTCGCGCCGACCCGACCCGAGCGCGGTGGTCCGGTTGACGTATTTTTTCGCTTCTCGCCGCGTGCCGTAGCGCACCGTATGTTAGTTTAGCGCACGTTAAGTATTCGGCGTGCCGTAGTGCAAGATTTAATAAGGCATGCCGTAGGGCAAGTTTTAGATTGAGCGAGCCGTAGTGTAAGATTTAGATTAGGCATGCCGTAGTGCAAGATTTAATCAGGCGTGCCGTAGGGCAAGTTTTAGATTGAGCGTGCCGTAGTGCAAGTTTCAGATTCGGCGTTCCGTAGCGCATGGTTAGTATTCAGCGTGCCGTAGCGCAAGTTTAATAATCGGCGTCCCGTAGCGCACGTAACTTGTGAAAGGTTATTTCGACGACGTGCCGTAGTGCAAATTTGGAATTAGGCGTTCCATAGCGCACTTTTCGGAATACCGTGTGGTAGTCGGTATCCGGCGTTCCGTAGCGCACTTTTCGGAATACCGTGTGGTAGTTGGGAAGTGGCGTTCCGTAGCGCACTTTTCCGTGCGGCAGTCGGTATCTGGCGTTCCGTAGCGCACTTTTCGTATATCCGCGCGGCAGTCGGCCGCCATGTAACGGTCAACTCAGAACTGGCACGGACCAGGGGAATCCGACTGTCTAATTAAAACAAAGCATCGCGATGGCCCGGGACGGGTGTTGACGCGATGTGATTTCTGCCCAGTGCTCTGAATGTCAACGTGAAGAAATTCAAGCAAGCGCGGGTAAACGGCAGGAGTAACTATGACTCTTTTAAGGCCGGGGATTATCCGTGAAGGCGAAACGCTGGGGTTGAACCATAGATGTCGGGCGGCGTCACTTTGCGAACCGACCGTATTTCAACCATAGATGTCTCTCCGTCCTCATATTGCAAAGCCGAAGGGTGTATACCATTGATGAGGCGGCGATTCACTTTGCGCGATCTCCGGGAGGGAACCATAGATGGCGCCGTCTCTCACTTTGCGACAATTGCCGGTGCGAGCCCAAAGACCGTTGGCCTCCTTGACCCACCCTACTTCCTTCCCAGTCACCTCCCTTCCTCTCCAACTTCTCCTGTCACCTTCATGGTAGGCTTGTACGTGATGACGGCTGCCCCAACCGGCTACCTTCGTCACCATCCTCTTCCTCCGGCTAATCGGGGTAAGCCAGACACGAACGTCCAAACACGGGTGCCATTGATTCGGTGTCCGTGGGTTCGTGTTCTACTGATACATAGCCAAATGCCTCGTCATCTAATTAGTGACGCGCATGAATGGATTAACGAGATTCTCACTGTCCCTATCTACTTAGTTCGGTCATAACCATTGCAGTGTTCATATGCGTGTCGGCGTGCGACTCATCAAAGAGATTTACAAATATGGAAATCAAATTAGTAAATCTTGCTAGTTTTTTCCAAATTTGGTCTCAACCGACGCGGGAGAGCTCCCGAAGCACTTTGTGAAAGTTTCAATTAGATTCGTTTAACTAATCAAAAGTTATTGCACTTTAAAAATTTTTACATATAATTTACATGTAATTGTATTGTGAAGCGAGTGTTCCAAAACTGGAGAAAATTAATTTCTCGGAGGCGCATTGACCTAGGACTTCAATTCAAAGTACACTGGATAGAGGACATCATAGCGCAGGAGGTGACATACGACACTTCACGAGGAGTATTTCCAACTTGGAGCAATCGAGGTTCAAAGTCGGTGAGACGTAAAAATCAAGCACTTTTTAACGATATTTTTAGAAAAATTTAACTTCGCAACGGGTAGAGCTAAAAAGTTGATTCGAACTCGCCCGAGCTTATAAAATTAAGTACATTACGCATTAGGCATCGTAACTGGTGTGAGCTTAATTATTTCGGAAAGTTTTCGTTAGACTAAAACTGCGGCACATCAAAGAAAGGACAAAGAGACACCGACAATAAAACGTAAATTTCGAACTTTTGAACGCATGGTGCTAGAACTTTGATTCGAGTTTGAACGGATTCGTCTCGTTGAGAGGAATTCGGGGGACTTGACACCGGAGCTCTAGCATTTTCGGTTAAGCATTTATTTCATTTTAAAGTTCGGCGGTATTTTCAAAGGGTTCTGCCGACTGAGCGACGGACATATGTATCGGAAACGTATACAGATAAGCGATTAGAATAGCACATTCTTACTACGTGCCGGATAGGACTTATAAAAGATTTTCTAACATTTGAACGGATAGACTTAGGGGAAAGATTCAAAGGTCATTGAAAAGAGGACCATTGTAGGATATTTTAGAAATTTTAAAAACTGAAGCGGCATTAATCAAAGAGATATACTAGGTCATACAAGAGGGTCACAACAGAAAGTAGGTCAAACTCCAAAAGTAGGTCAATTAATAAAGCAGGTCAATAAGTTAAACAAATGGGTCAAAAGAAAGTAGGTCAATAGATCATTCAAAGTGGGTCACAACAGAAAGAAGACCAGTGGGCTGTACACAGAAGGCAATACACGCAAGGAGATTATTTAATAAGCAGGCCCCATCAGGGGCAAACACCCTGTTGTTGGGGTGCAAGCATTGCAATAACAGTTTAACCCGGCTTGGTCGTGAAAGGCAACTAACAGGGTTAAAATAGGAGACTATGAAGTTCCCCAACGGACCCTACCATCAGGGGCACAGAGTCCCCTAGCAGCATCAAGGGGGTATGGAACTTGGTGCTGCACACAGGCTCTCCACTAGCCGTCGGGGGCGCTAGAATAGTGGGAAAGACTTAGGTCTCGGGTTGACCCACCGATGTCAACTAAAAACCGAATCGGTACCACGGGAGAGGGGAGCCCCACCACACGTCGGACCGGCTCGGACTTTGGTCCGGTGCTGGTGGTCCATATGACGACCCGGTTGACGAAAGTCGACTGAACGGACGGACCTCGTATATAGCTCCTTAGAGCTAACACACGGTGTCCGGTTGTAAGGCGCTAGCCGAACTCAAACCCGGATCGACATGTCCCTATTTACTGTTCAGTTATGCTTATCATACCCCTTTTTTGTTCCTGCTTGATACTGTCCCATCTAATTTTTAGATCTAATGGTAATTGTCCCGCTAGGACTTGTAGTGCTTCCGTTGACGTAGTCCTGTAGGCTCCCATTACCGCTAATAATGGTATCCTTTGTGCTCTACTTAATTTCTCTATTTCTGTTTTGTTTCAATCTTTCCTCCATATTATAGCAGCATAGGTTGTTCTTGGTATATATATCGTTTTGTAAAGAATGAGTGATGTATTAAATTTTATTCCCCATTCCCTACCTAGTATACCTTTCATTCTGCTGAATTCTGTTGTTTTCTTCTGCACTGTTTCCGTTATTTGTGTTTTGAATTTTAATCCTTGATCTATTGTGATTCCCAAGTATTTTATTTTATTCGCCGTTCTTAATCTATTGTTTCCAAATTCTATAGTGAATCCATGAACTAAGTCTCCTTTCAGTATCATCCCCATGGACTTTGTCGGTGAGAATTGTAATTCATATCTCTCCGCCCATGTTTGGAGATTCCTTAGCTGTTCTTCTGCTTTTTGAATAATTTCGTTGCGTGTGTTGCCTGCAATTAGTTGTACAATATCATCGGCATAGGCTACTCTGTGCGTTTTATCATCTTCACTTCTTTTTAATATACAATTTACCGTTATATTCCACAGTGTCGGGCCAAACCTTGACCCTTGTGGACAGCCCTTTGTTAGTGTCGTTTCTACTTTGATGTTATTGACCATTATTTCCGCTTTCCTGTTTGTCAAGTAACTTCTTGTTATTTTTCTTGATGCTGTGGTCGTTCCAAGTGCCTCCATATCTTCAAACAGAGGACCCCATTTGACATTATCAAATGCTCCACTGATATCTAGAAATATTCCCCATACGTATTTCTCTCTTCTGTCCTTGACCCAATTTGTGACTTCTTCAATTGCTGTGATAGTTGATCTTCCTTTCTTAAATCCGTGTTGGCTACTCTGCGGGATAGGCAGCTGGCATGCTAAAGAGGGAGGTCAATTTAAGTACTCACCCCCTCAAAACTGCCGAAAAGAGTTAAATAACAAAGAAAAGAAAGATAGAATATACCCTAAATGCCCATCTCTCACAGAACTGAGAGAAATGGAAGAAGTAACTGAACAATACAAGAGGGGTATTAACCAAAGGAAATATGAAGAGGCAGAAACAGCTAGTAATTATACTAGCTCGGCCATAGGAACAATATTCAAGGGATATGATGATGAGGAATTAATATGGGATTCCGACGAGATAAGTAAGAGAGAACAAGAAATAGAATACGATGCGGACTTTTTGGAATCTGATGAAGACGATATATCGGAGGAAGAAAAAGATGAAGCAGAAGAAGCACAAAGACTAACTAGACCATTCAATCTGGGACTACCGAAAGGCAGAAGATGTCCCAAAATGGAGGTTACGCAGAATAAAATGAATGAGATAAGAGAAAAAATAGAAATAAGGAATAACAATGCATCAAGGAACAACCAATTAAGTATGGGACGACAAAAGGAAACAAGCCGTCCCACAGCTGAAAGCAATCAACATAGCAAAGAAGTAGAAATCAAAAAATAGAATTTAAAAGATCATAAGATAGTCGATTACACAAGCTCAGAAGGAGAGGAAGAATTTAAAGTACTAAGATTAAGAGGTGGAGCGAAAACCACCTCAGAAAGCAGATTTTCCGTGCCGTGTATACTAATTATAATTATTTTCGTTTCACTTGCAGTCTGGAAATTTTCTTCGTGGGGGACGCAAAGATCAAGCCGCCGGCGTACGAGGAGTTCCGGGCACAGCTCCAGGAATGGCACTACATGCAAACGATGTTCCCGGGCGCCACGCTGACCCGGAACTCCTACAGCATGATCGTTGAAAGGTGGACGATGAACTTGGCGGACTCCATCGCCAAGGAAGTCGTCCGCCACTGCCAGCGGGAGAGGTTCAAGGCGCCCCTTAGTGTCATCCAATTGACTCACGTGGCACGCGATCTGGGGTGCTCCTGGTGGACCAAAAACGAGTTTACCAGGGCCAGGTTGTTGCGCCGCGTGAACAGCGCGCTGCAGCAGCAACTGTAAATATTTTGTAAATATTCTGTAAATATTGTAAATACTGTAAATATTGTAAATATTGTAAATATTGAACTGTTAATAAATAAAACCTGTAAATAAATGTAAATATTAATATGTATATAAAACTGTAAATATGTGAATGTCAACTGTTGACATTATTGTTGCTGTTGAAAATAGTTTGATACTGTTTGAAATTTTTATTATTGTTATTTGCTGTTTCAATTTATCATTGGTAATATAATATTAATGTTTTTATTATTACTTATATAATTGTATATAAAACTGTAAATATGTGAATTTCAAACTGTTGACATTATTGTTGCTGTTGGAAATTGTTTGAAATTTTTATTATTGTTATTTGCTGTTTCAATTTCATTGGTAATACAATATTTGTGTTTTTATTATTATCATTTATTTTGATTGAAATAAAAAAAAAAAGATTGAAAAATGAAAAAGAAATTGTTGTAAAATTCCTATGAAATTGATATATAAGCGTCCCTATCTCATCACTGGACTTGAATATAAATTTTTTTTTTTTTTGGGTAATCCACTTGGATTGTTAATCGGAGACGAGTTGAGTTTTAACGAAATTCATTGAATTGATTTTTAACCTAATAGAACAACGGACGGATTGGTGTAAACAACACTCACCCATACAGTAGACGATTTTTAGGAATAGCCCGACGAAAGGGTTGGTTAGGAAAAAAAGGTTAAGTCGAAACAGTCCCAGGCTTGCGACCCGACGAGCGGTCAACCCTTTTTCGCGTGACGCCGGTCCACCGTCCTCTACGAATCCGACGAATGCATATTTTTTTCACGCGAACCGTTAGTAAACGTTACGGGCAACGTTTTTACCTCTTACGAGCAACGCTCTATCTCCGACGGTTCCTAAGTTACGGAGGGGTTTGAATCGAGCGAAAAAGGTTTGAGTCCCAAGCCTGGGACTGTTTCGACTTTACCGTGTTCTCGTCGCGCGACAAAGGTTTGAGTCCCAAGCCTGGGACTATTTCGTTTTTATTCATGCAAAAGGTAGAGGACGGTCGGACGATCATATTCGGTCCTCATGTGCACGGTCGTACGTCGAACGGTTCGGCTGGTACGAGAAGTCGAAAAAAATAATTTCAAAGTCCAAAAAGTCCCGGGCTCGAGACCCGACACATGCTCAAACCTTTTTCGCGCGACGCCGGGTGGCCGTGAGACATCGCGGCGGCGGTCGAAATTAAAATACAGCTACACCGCCTCGCCGGCCTATGTGCCGATCATGGATTCCGATCGGAGTCCCACGCTTGGGACACGCCGCTCCCGGAATAATCGACTTATCGGCTCGGTTCCACGATATATGGACGAACGCGGCACAACAAATCCGATTTTCCAGGTCCCGAAGCGATAACTTCGATTCCGGCCGAACGGGAGAATTTCGAAAAGTCGAAGTGTCACAACGGACGGAAAGCAAAACCGTAAGCGCCGATACCGAAACTACCCCTATACTTCTGTTATAAACTTTGAAATAAATTGAATAATCAACATTAACGAATAAAACTGTTTAATGGGCCGAATACTTTAACTAAAGAGACTTAACAATCAACATAAACATCAAAACATAACCAAATATTAATAACTATTAACATTTAAACATAATATAATTATATAATACAAAATAATAAAAATGAGTAACTAGAACCGTAAGCGGTCACACACAGCACCAAACGGACATGCACCACACACGAGCGTTACAAAGGAACGAAGACACTCACCACTCAACGGTCGTGGTGTGTAGTCCGATGGCTCTACACGACAGTGTAGCCAACAGCTTCTATCATTCATCTTCTCCTGACATCCCAGACCGTCCTCGGACTGTAGTGTCATAAGCTTGAAGGTAGGCCGGTGGTCTACGGTTACGAACTGGACGCCTACTCGTTTCCTCCTCAGCCGTGGAACTGGACTCTACTGCATCTGACGATAGCATTACATTCTGGCTTTCCGTTGGACACAACTCGTCCTCATCCTCTTGAAGTACCTTCCAGGACTTTAACTCGGGGACATGGGCTGTGGTTGAGTACAGATGTCTGCCGTTCGCAGCAACGTCCGCAACTCGATAGGTATCACTAGGCAACACCTGGATCACTTGCATAGGGTGAACACGGTATCTCACCTGAAGCTTTGACAGTTCTCCTACTCGTGGTTGTCCCTTCATGACAACAACTTCACCGACATCAAACTTAACCCCGTCATAGTGTCTTTTATCATGGGCCAATTTCATGTCCGGTTGCTTGGCAAGTATAACTTTTCTTATTTGTTCTTGCTGTTCGGCAGGATCAGTCCAAGTGTTGGCTGTCTGGCTCAGCTGACGTATTTCGCCACCGTAAAATCTTGGACGATACCCATGTAATGCTTCAAAAGGAGTTTTTGTTGTGGTTTTATTCACAGCATTATTTAAATGACGCTGTATCTCTGGAACCTTCACATCCCAACGTTGATGGTCTTCCGCAGACATTGCCAACAGTGGAATCATGGTCCTATTGGCTCTCTCGACCTGCCCATTTGCCTGAGGATGGCGGGTCGAGTTGAGAGTGTGACGTATACCACGCAATCGACAGAACTCTTGGAAAGACTTGGCAGTAAAGCATGTGCCGCGGTCGCTTATAATCCTGTCTGGCAAGCCTCTTTCTTCACACAGTTGAGTCATAACTCGTATCACACCGGCCGCATCTGTCGAACTCGTTGGATATAACAATATGTATTTGGTCAAATTGTCTACCACGACTAATAGATATCTCTTCCGGTTTACACTGGTTTCAAAAGGTCCAAGGTGATCGACGTGGATCTAACCTGAAACGGGCGTTTTCCAGGTGGAATAGGGTGTAAGAGACCCGGAGTCTTACCAGATGGTAGCTTATGGACTAAACAATCCAAACACATACTTATATGTTGTTTGACATAACGCCAGAGACCCGAAAACCAGTAATCTTCAGTGATTTTCTCGACAGTACGTTCTACTGCAAAATGTCCCTGTAAGTCATGTGCAGCAATCACAATACCCTTGCGCATCGTTTTAGGTACAACGAGGAGCAGCTTGTCCCTGTACTTACGATAAACCAGTCCATTGCATACTTGATAGTCTTGTGCAACATTTTCTCCTCGCGAGGCATTCTGGATCTGATCATAGAGGGTCCGGGTTGGTAGATCGCCTTGTTGCATTAATCATACACGTTCTTTGACTGTCAAAGTAAGACACACCTCTAGGCGTTGAGCCAGCACATTCTCTACCGAATCCGGAGGCATCGGTTCTGAGTGTGCTGCTCGGCTAAGGGCATCAACATGGGCCATACGACTGCCCGGTCTGTATTTAATATCAATATCGAATTCCTGAAGAAGCTCAAACCATCTCGCCACTTGTGGTTTGACATTCTTGTGTAGGTTGAGGTATATTAAAGCTTGGCAATCTGTGATTACGGTAAATCTCACGCCTAGCAGATATGAGCGGAGCCTAGATAAGGTCCAAATGATTGCATACAACTCAAGCCTACTCGAATGGTACTTTGACTCGGCCTCAGTGGTACGTTTACTTACTGCATATACTATATGCAGTTGCTTTTCGTTATCACCTTGCAAGAGTATACCCGAAAGAGCCACTGCACTGGCGTCAGTATGCACTTGGGTGATAGGAGCAGTAGCATCATACATACGAACCACCGGTTCTTCACACAACTTACTCTTAAGCGCAACGAATGCAGCTTCTTGTTGTTCGCCCCA